TTGCTTTAGTATTTGCAGTTGCATTATCTAATGTTATGGCCATTATTCTATCTCTTAAACTATATTCTATCTCTTAAACTATATTCATCAATGACAGATAAAATTGTGTTATATATTAAATTGGCAGTATGTGATCTTATAACACATTTAAAACCTAATATTCTCTTATCCAAATCAAAACCTTTATAATAATGTCCAGTTATAGCTAAATAATCTTTGTTCGCAACGGCAGACCAAATATCCGCCGTTAACGCAACGCAACCACTAGTAGAGTGTAAAAGGTTGATTAATGCTTCCTTTTCTTGTTTATATAATTTTAATGCATCTTTCCTAAGAGTAGTTCTTGAAAAAAATTGTGCATTAGGATTATGTACAATTTTAATATAACGTTGTCAATTCCTTTATTCAGTAAAACTAAGTGGTTGATCTAATATGGCTACTAAGCGTGCCATTTCCATACGACCGACTTGCGGATCGTATTTCCAAGTGGTTAGACCGCCGGTTTGGTAGTCAAATGATAATTGTGTTTGGCGGAGATCGGGTCCGCCTCCTTGCTTTTGAAGACACTTTTCATAGTGTCTTCTCAAGTGTGTAGTGCCGTGAATAATGTTACCTTGTAATTTATCACCACAATATTTGCATTGAGCTATGTATTTAATGTTACCGTTATTGTCGATTTCCTCGAATGTGTTGAAGTGCTCCCAAACTGCTGAGGTGCGCTTGCATTTCTTCTTAGAACTTGCAACACTTGCACTAGCACTACTGCTTGCCTCTCCTCCACGCCCACCAGTGCCACCACCATTACGTTCACGACCTCTAGTACGTTCACCAGGGCTCGGATTTGCAGTTTCCTCAACAACTCTTTCTGTAGTTTGCGATTCCTGCGTTTGAAAAACATTAGGAAATTTCCATTCTTTGATGTTGAATTGGGCATCAATGGGAATATCACTACCATAACCAGAAGAAGCCATTATGAAAAATAAAAGAGATTGAGAGCGCTTTGAGAGAGATTAAGAGAGATCGATAGAGATTTAAGCGAGATTAAGAGAGATTTGAGAGAGATTAAGAGAAATTGAGGGAGATTAAGAGAAATTGAGAGAGAATGAGAGTTTT